GTGTGTGTCAGCTGGAAACTCTTCGAGGACATGATCGAGCCGTTCCGGATGCACGAGGGTTCAAAGGAGACGTCGCAGGCTGAAGTTCTGAGGAAAGAACATCCCTGGAAGATCACGGATGCTGAGCTGGACGCCTTCGAGGAGAAGGTAGAATCCCAGAGAACATTACAGCTGCTGTATCCTGCTCACCACAGCTGCAGTTATTTGATCAAAATACAGTAAAAACAGTGAAATATTATTGCTATTTAAAACAGCTGTTTTCTATGTGAATCTCTGTTAAACTGTAATTTATTTCTGTGATGCGCAGCTGTATTTTCAGCATCATTACTCCAGTCTTCAGTGTCACATGATCTTCAGAAATCATTCTAATATGCTGATTTGCTGCTCAAGAAACATTTCTGATTATTATCAATGTTGAAAACAGTTGTGCTGCACAATATTTTTGTGGAAACCGTGATACACTACTATTCATAAAAATATTCATATAAAGTTTGGCATACAAAATAAGAAATTAAACTTTCATTCCTCAAGGATGCATTAAATTGATAAAAAGTGACAGCAAAGACATTTATAATGCTACAAAAGATTCTATTTCAAATAAATGCTGTTCTTTTGAACTTTCTATTCATCTGTGAATCCTGAAAAATAAAATAATCAGTTTCCACAAAAATATTGTGCAGCACAACTGTTTTCAACATTGATAATAATCAGAAATGTTTCTTGAGCAGCAAATCAGCATATTATTATGATTTCTGAAGATCATGTGACACTGAAGACTGGAGTAATGATGCTGAAAATACAGCTGCGCATCACAGAAATAAATTACAGTTTAACAGAGATTCACATAGAAAACAACTGTTTTAAATTATAATAATATTTCATATTTTTATTGTATTTTTGATCAAATAAATGCAGCCATGGTAAGCAGAAGAGACTCTTTCAAAAACAAAAATCTATTATTCCACATCCCAAAGGACTAAATCCAAAAGATCGATCACACGAGTCTGAGATAAGCGTCTGTGCTTTACTGTCCGCAGACGATGCTGCAGGTGCGTCTGAATGAGCTGCTTCAGGAGAGCTCGAGAGCAGCCAAACTCATCGTGGTGTAAGTCACATCCTCATCAGCATTATGTGCGTGTCAGTACGTGATCATGTGACTAACGTGTGTGTGTGTGTGTGTGTTACAGGAGCATGCCCATCGCCCGTAAAGGCTCCGTCTCTGATCATCTGTATATGGCCTGGCTAGATGCGCTGACAAAGAATCTACCGCCGACCGTCCTGATACGAGGAAACCATCAGAGTGTGCTGACCTTCTACTCCTGAAGAACAGAACACACACACACACACACACAGACACA